AGCAAAACTTTGTTGATATAAAAAAAGTGATAGATTTATAGTTAAAACATACAATATAGAAGACAAATAATTAAACTTAAGTCCACAGTCTGTCTGATCTCATGCTTTGATTTTGGTTTTCAGACCCTGATGCACCGACTAACTTCTACATCAAAGTAGGAGAAAGCTTCACTGGAGAGGCCGGTTTGTGCATCAGAGTATTCTGTTTTTTCACTATCCCTCAAAGTGTCTCAGATCCCATTAGGATAACCTGGTTCAAAGGAGATCCTCAAAACCCAGCTGTTGAACTTCCTTATTTTTCCACTAATATATTTTATCCCCATGAGAAAGAGTGCAACTTTTTGCTAAACCACTTGGTTCAGGGTAAATCTGATGGTGAATACAGATTAAAAGTCGAGTGGGGAGAAGGAAAAGTGTATATCTTTCCTCAGACAGTAAATATTACTGTTAAAGGTATGCATTTGTTTATATGCTTTTTGACAGAGAAACATACAAATCCAAATTAATTTATGGAATTTTTCATTCCAATAAATGTTTTTAGAGCTTACCCAGAAACCAACAATAAGCGTCCCATTGCTCACAGTGGGAGAGAAGGCCGAGATATCCTGCAAAGTTCCAGGGGATTGCACAGAACCCTTAGCAGATATTGTGTGGACAGGGATTGATGGTGAAACTAGTCGTAGAAGTCATGGAGTGCCTAACCAGGAAGAGCACTTTTCTATAATGACTTTTCATCCTAAGCCTGAACATCACAATACTAAGCTCACCTGCACAGTGACACTTCAAGGAAGTATCCGGTCTGAAAGTACTGTCATCCTCAAAGTAAGACGTATGTATCATTTCACTTATAACACATTATAAATTCTAATTTGAGGTAAGGCGATAAACACCATCAATTTGTATTTAGATTCCCCTACAATCCTGAACAGCTCCCATTGTTTTGTGTGGGGTGATGAACTGAGCTGCATGTGTGTCAGCAGTGGTGTGCCGTTACCCCAGATATACTGGCCAATATTGAACGGTACCACGAAATACTTCAGTGCTGTTTCAACAGAGAACATCATCTGCATAAGCAACATCTCCATTCCTGGTTTCAGGAACGTCAACACTACCATTGAATGTCAGTGAGAATCTAATTGGTATGACAAAAATGGAAATCCAAGTGCACAATCATGGTGAAAAACCAAAAGGTAGGCAGGACGCAATCATCATGTGTATTTTATACAAATCATCCAAATGACTTCTCTTTTGAAAATCTTTATTGTTCTCTTAGTAAGTTGGAGTTTTTCCACCCCGTGGATATTCTTTACCCTTTCAGTTGTTCTAAATGTCATCTTTGCTTCCTGTTTGACTGTCGTCCTACGGTAAGAACTTCATAAACTCAAGAAATGGATATTGGCTGACAGTTTCTAAGTGTTAAAAGTTTGTGATTAGTCAGCGATTCCACATATTTGACCATTATTATTTTCACAGGAGAGAAAAACATACGAAACCAAAAGATGACGACCATGTCTACATGACTGCAAGGAAGAGACAGGAATCAGTGTACGAGACTATCAAAATGTCTTGAACTGTTCAACACAAGCTGCTGAAATAAAGCTTTTTATAACACATAGGCCTATTTAGGTCTTTATTTTCTGCTCGTGTTAAAGGCATACTCCACACAAAAATCATAATTTTCTCATCGTTTACTCACCCTCATGCCGTCCCAGATGACTTTCTTCAGATGAACACGAACGGTTTGCAGATTTTGCACGTAAAATGCCTGCACATTGTGAAGCATGGCGTACTCGCACGAAAAGTGATGGACGTTTGGAGCCACATGACATGCAGGGATAAAAAAGTAACTCGTGCGCACGATTTACTAATTCATTTCTTTTGTTTACTACGAGCCTACGATTTACTAATTCGAAATCGTGCATACAAATATTCATTCTACTTCCTGTCCGCATTCTCATAAACCGATAGATGCCTCTCACTTAAAATGAGTCCTGCAAGGCTTTTGAGAATGTGTATAACTCACTCCTAACTCAAAATAAAACCAAATTAAAGTGTCTCTGTCCAAAACATAGCATAAAATAACATAACATAGCAGCAACTGATAGCATACATCATGGAGACATCTATTTGCTTTCCAGATGAAGAGATCTTTAATAGACATCTTGCAGACGTACGTGTGCTATCTGAGAACAGAGAACTCTGACGGGAAGTAGAACGAATCATTATTTTACAATTAATTCATTTCTTTTGTTTACTACGAGCCTACGATTTACTAATTCGAAATCGTGCATACAAATATTCATTCTACTTCCTGTCCGCATTCTCATAAACTGATAGCCTCTCACTTAAAATGAGTCCTGCAAGGCTTTTGAGAATGTGTATAACTCACTCCTAACTCAAAATAAAACCAAATTAAAGTGTCTCTGTCCAAAACATAGCATAAAATAACATAACATAGCAGCAACTGATAGCATACATCATGGAGACATCTATTTGCTTTCCAGATGAAGAGATCTTTAATAGACATCTTGCAGACGTACGTGTGCTATCTGAGAACAGAGAACTCTGACGGGAAGTAGAACGAATCATTATTTTACAATCTACTTTAAACAAGGGAAGTAATTGGTAAATCGTGCGCACGCACGATTCTTCAAGAACATGTACAAATAAAGCGAATTATCCTGTTTATCATTTTGTTTAGGCCTACTTTATTTTTTGTTTCACTTTTAAAGTCACCATGAAATCAAAATGGAAAATTCTTATTTTTTTAATGGTATACTGTAGTGTTTATTATAAATAATTTATCCGTGCACTTCATTATTTTTTTTTAATTCATGTGCCCTCATAATCTTTAATCAAAAACGTTAACCTCCCCTCCCCCTCAAAACGACTCATCTTCTCTTCCGGTCACGAGCTATGGCGCAAGGGCGGAGCTAGTGACGTGAGGGGTAAACGCTGGGATAAATGACAGGGTGAAAAGCCGAAGCTGATGCTTCACTTTATAGCACTGACACAGTCATAAGGGAGTACGTTACCCCTAAACATTGAAAAGATATTAGGATATTACTACAACATTACTCTTAGGACATTGCAAACTAATTTTTTTCATGAATATGACTTAACCTGATGGAGGACGCGCTCCGTCATTCAGGCAGTCTCTCTCTCTCTCTCTCTCGTGCTGTTTAGGCATGTTTTATGCCGTTGATCGTCGTCATCATTCTTAATAAATAAAACATTTATTCATGCTTGGGTGTCGGCTGTGAATCCAGTGGAGAGAAATCCCCCACCACTAACTGATATGTCACAGCAGAGAAGAAAAGACAATCTGCAACTTCCGTTTCATGCCGACTTTAAAGAAGAATGGCATCATTTGAGGCTGGAGACTTTTATTATACAAAAAGAAAGCAAGCAAAGAACATCATGTAAATTATTATTTAAATAATGATTGGAGATTTTCTGTTCTGCATTATTATGTCAATAAGGAAACAACATTACGTGTTCATTATTATTGCCATCACACAGTCAGATACATACAAATATTCTTTACAACAACAAAAATTAGGTTTGACCTACTAATGTGCCCCCGAATCTGTTTGCTTACAAATAAATATCTGTGTATATATCTTCAAACATGGACTGTCTTTGTTACTAATTGTATATTGTCTGCAAAATATACACCATTGTTGCACAATGTATGTTCTTGTTGTGTGGTCAAAGGTTCACAACACAGAACTATATATCATGCAGAGTATTTACACTGGTATCCTACCAAGGTGCTTTGAATGCTTTATAAATGTAAGATGTGATTAATATCATAATAACTCATTAATCTGTTAGTCAAATTGCATTTCAAGGGCTAATCGCATATACTGACCGTCTAACAAACATCTATCGACACAACCTTACCAGAGGATTACATGATTACATAAAACATTACATTTATTTCAAGCACCTTAGGTAAAGTGATACCTTCCTATATGTTCCAAATGGTGGTTATTTCTTATTCAGTTTCAAAGGATGAGCTACAATCATCCATTATTTAATATGACTTTCTGTTTATATCAAATGTCAGCTTAACCATATTAGATTGCAATGTGTGCCAGAGCAGGGATGACCATCAGGCATTATCATATACTACATCCTATCAGATTGGCTGAATTATTATCAGGGTGAATTTGCTCCTTAATGTATTTGGAACATTTCAAACAAATATACAGTGGGTACGGAAAGTATTCAGACCCCCTTAAATTTTTCACTCTTTGTTATATTGCAGCAAAGGGTACAAAGTAGTTGGAACAAACAAAATCCAGCAACCATTCAATAAACCAGTTTTGAATCCAGTTACTGGCCTGTTTTCATTTACAAATACAAATAAGTGAAATATACAGTATAAATAAAAAATAAAAAGAGTATTAATTTAAAGGAATAATTCACCCAAAAATGAAAATTTTGTCATCATTTACTAACCCTCATGTTGTTCCAAACCTGTATGAGTTTATTTCTTATGCTGAACACAAAAGAGGATATTTTAGTTGATGGTAGCCATTGACTTCCATAGTATTTTTCCCAGTGACGGCGCTACACCGGGGCTAAAGGGGGCTATAGCCCCGTCAGAATTTTGAATAGCCACGGTTTATCACATTCAGATGTTTTGCCATTGTTGACATCAACGATGGCTTTAGAACTCTTATAGAACATGAGCTGTTTCATGGTACTTTTATTATGTTTTTTTGGTCTTTTATAAGCTTAACAGATGTGGTCACTATGAACTGTTGTTGTAATAAAATAACTAAACAAAGATTCTTGTGACATGCAGTTGGACCAAAATGAGGGTGAGTTTTTTTCATTTTTTGAGTGAACTATCCCTTTAACAATCACCTCTGGGTATGTGATAAAAGTTTCAGCGGACGAATATTGAAATGTGCGTGAAGACTTGTACACTCAGAAAAAGACTTGAAACAACCGCTGTATTTAAGAGAGTGTTAGGCCTCCAAGACATACCCAGAGTTGGGATAGTGCTTATACATTATGTCGAGGTGCACATAGCACCTCGTTCCCTGATGCTTCGACTTACAGCGGACACAGTGAAAAGGACCACTAGTGACTGAGACTCACCTGCAAACCATACCATTTCCCTTAAGCTTGCTTCAGACTATAAGCTCTACTGTAACTCTTGGGAAAAAGACCCTTCCTTTTGGAAAGTATTGTCTTTTAAACCAGGAGAATACTAAAACCTCTCATATCTGATTGAGAGACTAAATATCTGGTATGGTTACAGTCAAGAATGGGTATAAATAACCAAAAACATTAATAAATACATAAAGAAACTCTATTGTACAGTATCTTTTACTGATAAGGGAACATATAATTCCCAGAACCTTGGAGACATAAGAGAATGCAATCTAAAACAACCTCAGACTCATTGTCCGTTAACTGTCCGAGACAGTTGTCCCTTGAAAAGGCCACATTTAAAATGGGTGAAATAGGAAATTTGTGGGGCAGTGGGAATTATTGGGCCCTAGTGGCCATTGTGTCCCATTTGGCCGAGGCATCAGGGAAGAATCGCGGTTCATTTGGCCTTAATTTCAGTGTAGTCACTGGTGTCACCATCAGCCCTCCTGAAGCCTCCCTCCAAGTGTCGTCCATGGAGAAACTCTAGGGCGGCGTAGTTCAGCTCTTGCCTCTCCATGCCTGCCATTGGGCCAACAGATTGGTAATCACTGTCGTCTCCCTGTGAAAATAATTTAGAAAAGATATTTCGGCACAATATTTGGAGGCAGAGCAGGAAAACTTTGGTCATGTCAAAATAAAAGTCCTTAACAATACACTCAAAAGCACTGTTAGCAATTAGCCGCTAAACAGAATGAGGTAGCCAGCGTATGAACTATTAGCTTCCGGGCAGCAGTGAACAGCATTGTTAAAACAGAAATAAATGTAAATTTTTGTAGTAACTGGATTTTTTTTCTCAAAATGTTTGCTTTTATTGCTGTCTATTGCTAGTTTATTTCACCTCCACCCATTTGTTTACATGCTCATCTTAAATTTCAGTCTTACCGTGCCTTCCTCTAGGATGGAGTTAAACTTTGAGCCCAGGAGCTCAGTCTTAAGCTATGTTAAGGGAAGAAAAAGAGACAGAGAATGCATAGAAAGCAATGAAAGAGGAGAGAATAGAAGTCAGGAAATGCTCTAAGCATAGGCCTACACTGGAACTCTCAGTTGTGACATACCATCCACACTTGGCTTTGTGACAGTGGCTGTATCCAGAATAGCATACCAGCATACTTCTGTTTCTGCAGTATACAGTATACGGTGACATTTTGTATGCATAGACCATGTGTCAAACTCCGGTCCTGGAGGGCTACTGTCCTGCAGAGTGTAGCTCCAACCAGCTCCAAAACACCTGTGTGGAAGTTTCTAGTAATCCCAAAGACCTTGATTAGCTGGTTTAGGTGTGTTTAATTAGGGTTGAAGCTAAGCTCTGCAGGACAGTGGCCCTCCCGGAACTGAATTTGACACCCCTGGAAACCATGCAGATACCTACGGCAATACATTTGTCAAAATATGCAGTATACAACAGAGCACACTGTATCCCACAATGCAATGCATTTCACCTGGCATTCTATTTCTAGTATAATTATTAAAGGTTATTATTAAGGTTTTCAGCCATCTCTTTATTAATTCAGTTTTTAATTTCATTTACAAGACATTTCTAGACAAAATTGAATTGGGAATTGAAAATAACTATTTATTTACAAGATGATAATTGGATGGCAACTGCATGCAACATGATGAGGTCATGTCACAACAATGCAGCATACTACTGTTTTAAAAGTTTATTGTGGAATAGTGCCTCTCTTGCACTTACTTTTTTTTTTTTAATTCCCTCTTTAATTCATCCTCTTAAAATATGTAGGAATAATATATGAGAAATTATTTTTAAAGGGGTCATATGATGCAATTTCAAATTTTCCTTTCTCTTTGGAGTGTTACAAGCTGTTCGTGAATGAATAAGATCCCTAAAGTTGCAAAGACTAAAGTCTCAAACCCAAAGAGATAT